GAATCTATCTATCTATCTATATATATATATATATATATATATATATATATATATATATATATACGCTTATATAATTCCATCTGGTCATGGGTCAATGTACATGAATGCAATGCATGATAAGTACGGTAATAAAAAATTTTGGAATGTCATAAGACCATTATGTCTTTGAGTAATATCATGAAGTAAAATTTTTCAACTTGCGTATTTTTCTGAGACCCATGAACAAAGGATAAAATAATAAGATACATGATAATTCAAGAACGTAGTCATTTCTAATACTTCTATAAATAGAGTCATTTGTGAAAGTTGTGCATTTGCTCGTTTCGTTTATATCGTATGGATCATGTCAAAAGAAAGAAGGGATAGCCTTAACATACCTGAGTCGATTCTCTTGAGAAATATTACACCTTACTTCATTAATATTGCAAAATCTCACGTTAATTTGAAATCTTGGGCGCAACTTATATGTTATATATTATGCATTTGCATATTAGATTGTTTGAACGTGATTTCTATGTAAGAACATCTTGTTGGACTATAAAGTTTGAAACATATTTTTTCTAAAATTTCATGGACTCTTTCAGAAGAAGTGTAGTAAATGAATTCTAATTTGTGGAGATTGTTATCTTTAGTTTAGGTGGGTCCCTCGTTGGAAGATTGGTGTCACCCTAGGCGTGACATCTTTCCCATTTTCATGCCACCTATTAGTAATGACTTATGAGTCATTTTAAATTGAAGGAGAGGCGGCCATCTCATACTTGTTAAATACTTATCCACTATATCCCCAATTAATTAGATAAAGTCCTGGTACCCGGTAATTAACCAATTACCCGTATAATTAAGAATTGTCTTAAATTACTTAAAATTCTACTTATTTTTAATTCCCTTATATATATATCATACTATCATGGTCATATGGCATTTTGTATGGTACTAGTCCATAAATATCGGGTATTAGCGCTCAGCCCGTATATTATCCCAACATGCCAAACTTAGACGATTTTTTTTTCTTTGACTTGCTTCCCCTTTCATCTTTACGAATTTACTCATCACTTGTGAAATAGCATAATCCTTATAATCTCCAAATAATCTTTTCCTTGGACTGATGTCAATTACTTTACGACAAATTCAACGTACAATACTACAGGGTGCAACATCGTCGTAATTTAATACTACAAAGCGTAACATCACCGTAATGTAATACTGCAAGGCGTAACATCAGCGTAATATAATACTGCAGGATTTAACATCATCGTAATATAATACTGCAGGATGTAACATTATCGTAATATAATACTACGGGACGCAATATCGACATAATATTGCGGGGCGTAACATTATTCCCCCCTTTGGAACATTCATCCTCGAATGTTGACTGATGCTCTTATTATTTTCATAACTTATAGCTCTTGTGAATACCTTAATACTCTCCTTGCCATTTAGATAGTTGTTCTGTAAATAAATCCAAAGTCTAGGGTATTCCCCCCTTTAGGCCTTTTTCTCACGCCACGACTTGTAGCCTGAATCCTTCCAATCTCGTAACTGTTGCTACCTTCTTTCATGCAGCTTGTTACACCTCCTTTTTCTTACCCCGAGAAGGAGTATAGGGGATTTTTTTCCAATTTAAGTGACAATCTAGACGTGATTATTTATTTATTGTTCAGAGTCGCCACTTGGGATAATTTATGGTGTCCCAAGTCACCAGTAAAATCCCCAATCGAGGAAAGATTGACTCTGTTTTACAGTCCACGAACACAGAAATCCGGGTAAGGAATTCTATTAACCCGGGAGAAGGTGTTAGGCATTCCCGGGTTCCGTGGTTTTAGCACGGTCGCTCAACTATTATTATTGTCGTATTTTTCTGATTAAGTACATATTTAAAAACCTATGTGTATTTTATTCCTTTTAAACCGCTTTTAATAATCCAATTGTTTTACAACTAATTATTGATTACACGTTTGCGAATCACGTCACGGGAACCGTACCCACGATCCACAACGTGTTTATTTTATCAAAAATTAAATTATGGCTGGGTCGCATAAATATACCCCCGGATTTAGAAATTAGGCATCATAGCTATGTCACGGGAACCGTACCCGTAGCTATAACAATTTATTTAATTAAACGTGCCTAAAGCAAACTACAAAAGTTTAAGGCATTTTCTACACTAGTTAAGATATCGATGTGAGGGTCATAGACTAGGTGATTGGATGACACACCTCAATTTTATTAAAGAAAAAGTATTCAACTAAGTGAACTACGGATATTCATTTTAAAAACTAATTTGAAATTAAATATCACAACCACGCCATGGGAACCATACCCGTAGTTGTGGTGATTTAATTACGTGCCTAAAGCAAGCTACGAATGTTCAAAGTTGTTTAACTCCCATGCGTTTGAGATTGCTTGTGAAAATCTAAAGTTTATGTAAAATATTTACGCCTACTGTTCCCCCTCTATTGCCCTATTTTCCTTCTTAATTAACTCAAACTAAGATTAAAGTTCTCATCCCTATCAATCAAGGAAATAAACAGTGACATGAATAATTACAAACAACTACTACCAACCTAAACTTCCTTTAAATTAAACATGATTCATATGTATTAACTCTAAAGAAGGAAGATGGCAGATCAATATGTAACCATACCAAGCAGTAAATGGTCAGCTCAAGCGTGAATCCGTAGATCAACCCATGGCAAAATAAACCAAGTTAACTAGGACTACATAATGAAAGATAAGCAAGAGCAACAGCTGAACAAAAACCATTCATAAATGTTGTAACATAACAAAACAAAATGAAAAAAGTAAATCTCACATTGCACCTTCGTCGAAACGGGATTAGTCACTGTTAACCGGACCAAAAATGGAGACCTCGAACGGAATTACGGTCCAGACCTCGAAACTCGCCAGAGTCAATGACGCCACTACCACAACGATGACGACACTGGAGCAACAGTCAAACGACACACACGTAGGAATCGCCAAAGAACTGATTCCGGCTAAACTCGGCGCAAAACGTTACAAAATCCAGAACTTGTTAGATCTAAACTCATCTGACATAGAAGTAAATCGCACGAGAATAATGGTTATGAAACATGTTCGATTGTGAGAGAGAATTGAGAAGGAAGAAGAGAAATTGAAATTGTATTCTAAAATCTGAGTTTTCTCGTTACATACAAGGCTGTATATACAGCTTCTCCACTACTTAGATGACAACATATGTATAGCTGTCAATTAACTATCTTTTTTTTTTTTGCTAGCTTGCACACTCCTAGTTGTATTTTGTGCACTTTAAACCCCATATGCTAAGACTCTCCCTCAAGCTGGAGGGTGGAAAGCATCAAACACTCCAAGCTTGGAAAGAAGGAAGGAATGTTGAGCAACACCAAGTCCCTTTGTCAAGAGATCAGCCAACTGAAGTTTGGTCGAAATGTGATGAGGAGCAAGCAAGCCAGACTTGATTTTTTCTCGAACAAAGTGACAATCTATCTCAATGTGCTTTGTTCGTTCATGAAAAATGGGATTTGCTACTATTTGAAGTGCAGCTTTACTATCACAATAGACATCAACAGGCTGATGTATTTCAATACTCAATTCTTGCAGCTATCCAACAAGCCAAGTAACTTCAGCTGTTACTGCAGCAAGGCTTCTATATTCAGCTTCAGCTGAGCTACAACTCACTGTCTGCTGCTTCTTTGACTTCCACGACAATAAGGAATCTCCAAGCTTGACAGCATATCCAGTGATCAATCTTCGAGTGTTTGGGCAAGCTGCCCAGTCTGAATCACAGAAGGCAGAAAGGTGGGTGATATGACCTTTCTTGAGGAAAATCCCAAGTCCAGGTGACCCCTTAATGTACCTAACCACTCGAAGTGTTGTAGTTAAGTGTGATTGTTTGGGGTGCTGCATGAATTGGCTAAGAACTTGCACAGCAAAACAAATATCAGGCCGTGTAATGGTTAAATAGAGTAACTGGCCTACTAGTCTTTGATAGCTCCACATATCTTGCAACTCTTCATCACCATTGTGCCCAACATGCTTGTCATATTCTGTAGTGGTCAATTTCTGATTTAGCTCAATAGGGGTAGATGCAGGTTTAGCAGCAGTCAAGCCTGTGGAAGAGATTAATTCCAGTGCATATTTTTGTTGGTTCAACAATATCCCCTGGTCTGATCTCATCACCTCAATCCCCAAAAAATATCTGAGCTCACCCAAATCCTTGACCTTAAAGTTGTTATACAATGTGTGTTTGGCCTCTTCTACTAAGGAGATACTACTGCCTGTAATCAAGAGATCATCAACATACACCAATATAATCACAATGTCATGTGACATTTGTTTGGTGAATAGAGAATGATCATATGCACTCTGTTGATACCCTGCTCCCACTAAGGCATCTGTGAGTTTAATATTCCATTGTCTTGAAGCCTATTTCAGCCCATAGAGTGACTTCAACAACCTGCAGACTTTGTTCTCCCCCTGTCATTTAAAACCCTATGGCAAAACCATGTAGACTTCTTCATAAAGGTCCCCTTGGAGGAATGCATTATTGACATCCATTTGATAGAGGCTCCATCCCTTTGAGGCTGCTATACTTAAGACAGTTCTCACAGTTACCATTTTGGCAACTGGTGAAAAAGTCTCATGATAGTCTAGCCCTTCTTGTTGTATGTATCCTTTAGCTACCAACCGTGCCTTAAACTTGTCAATCTCACTAGATGACTTATACTTGATCTTAAACACCCATTTGGAACCAATAGGTTTCTTTCCTTCTGGTAAATCAACTACTTCCCAGGTATGGTTCTCTTCAAGTGCCCTGATTTCTTGATCCATGGCTTCTATCCACCTTGGATCATTTGCAGCTTCTTTGAAGGATTGTGGTTCAGTTAAAACTGAAAAAACATTGAGGAATGACTGGTAGGCATGAGATAGATGATCATATAAAAGGACATTAGAGATAAAGTACACAGTATTTGTATGTGTCTTGGCCTCAGTGATGTAGTCCTTAAGCCATATAAGAGGTTTTCCCTTTCCTTGTCGATCAGATTTCCTAGGAGGTGCCACTATAGATGGTGGTTGTGAGTGAATAGCTTCTGACCCTGCTTCTTCTATGCTTGTCTGGGCTTCTGGTTCCAAGATTATAGGAGAGGGATTCTCATTTGCTGAATCACCTGCTGGGATCTCATGGTGTATATGGGACTCTGCATGAACTGTGGCTGAATCCAAATTATCTGAAGTTTCATAATTATCACTACATTCTGCATGGTCTATGACCAACTCCATATCAGCAGTCTCCACCTCTGTGGTGCCATTTGAATTAACTGGCACTTGTATGTTCTGAGATGGAGTTGTAATTATAGGAGCTTGTGATTCCACAACTGGAGGTTGTGAAGCAAATAGATCCTTTTTATAGTCTGAATCAACAACCCTTGCAAAAGGAAAACTCTGCTCCCTAAAGATCACATCTCTGCTAACAAAATTATTTCTATTCTCTAAATCATAGAACCTATAACCCTTTTGCGTTTCTGAGTATCCAATGAGAACAACCTTCTTAGCTCTAGTTGTAAACTTATCACCTTTAGGTAAGTTGCTTGCATAACATAAGCAACCAAACACCCTTAAGTGATCTATTCTAGCTGACTTTCCAAACAACAGCTCATAAGGAGATTTTCCTTGCAAGATATTGGTAGGTAGCTTATTTATCAAATATACTGCTTTTCTTACACAGTCACCCCAAAATCTCTTAGGAATTGAGCTTTGAAATTTCAAGGCCCTTGCAACCTCCAGTATATGCCTATGCTTTTGTTCAACCACCCCATTTTGTTGTGGGGTGTATGGACAACTACTGTGGTGTATAATTCCCAGAGAAGCAAATAAATTATTACATTGAGAGTTGAAAAACTCTGTACCATTATCTGATCTAACAATCTTCACAACAGCTTCAAATTGAGTCTTTATCATTGCAAGAAAGTTTTTAATCAAAGTAACCACTTCACATTTAGACTGTATTAAGCATACCCAAGTAAACTTGCTGTAATCATCTACTATTGTGACAAATAAAGCTTTATGTCATATGTAGGTACCTTATGAGGTCCCCAAACATCCATGTGTACGAGTTGAAAACAACTACTTGATCTAGTGCTACTAGTTGGAAATTGTAATCAACATTGTCTTACTAAGGGAAATACTTCACAGTTGTTTTCTTTTCTTGTCTGTATTTTATTCTTTAGTTCTGAAATATGCTGCATTGCCTTGGTTTATGCATGACCAAGCCTCAGATGCCATAGTGTCGTTTCTCCATGTTCCTTCAAAAAACTGATTGCTGTTGTTGGCAAATTTTCTCTTATTAGGTACAACCCATTATTCTCTCTACCAATCTCCATCACCTTGCCATTGTAGAGACCCTGAAATATACAAAAATCAGGATAAAATCCAACTGAGCAACATAATTGCCTAGTGAGCTTAGACACTGACAGTAGGTTGAATTTGAATTTTGGCACATACAGTACTCCCTCAATAGTTTTATTCCCTAAAACTACTGCATTTCCTGTATGTGTAATTTCTGCTCTACTGCCTGTAGGCAACTGTACTCCATCTGCTTTATGATCTGCTTTTCTAAGGTTATTTAAGGTATCCTTACAATGTGTCACATGGTGAGTAGCACCTGAATCCACTATCCAAACTTGATCACTAACACCTGCATTTGACATTAATGTAAAGATACCTGCAGTATTAGTGGAACACTCATCTGTAGTAGTCTTCTGCAATAGTTTACCAGTTGTTTGTACTGCTCCTCAGTGAAGAAATTTCCTTGTGTGGGGAGCATTGGCACATGTTTCTCTTCACTAGTTGCATTGTTCACATAAGTTTTGCCTCCTGAGTTTTGCCCTTTCTTCTTGCTTTTGAAATCTGGTAGATATCTCACTATCTTGTAGCAGTTTTCCTTTAGATGGCCCTTGTAACCACAGTGATCACAGATTAATCCTGACCTTTTTTGTTTGAATTCATGACCTTTACTTGCCAACATTGTAAGAGGATCTTTCAATGTATCTGTGACTCCAAGAGTCCTTTGACTTTTTTCTTGTGTAACTATAGCATAGGCTTCATTCATTGTAATTACAGGCCTTTTTGCCTAGATATTACTTCGAATGTTACCATAGCTCTCGTTCAATCCCATAAGAAACTGTAATAAACGAATGTTTTTCAGAAGTTCCACTGAAGGCCTACACTCCTCACAGTCACATGAAGCCAAAGGTGCTATGACGTTCAGTTCATCCCATAGATCCTTCATCTTCGAGTAATAGCTAGTGACCGAGTCTGTTCCTTGTCTCAAGGTTGCAATAGCAGTCCAAAGATGATATATCCTAGTTAAATTTGACCTATCAAACCTTTCTTGGAAGTCAGCCCATACCTTCTTTGCATTCGATGCATAGACAATACTAGGCATCAACTCATTTGAAACAGTGCTACCAATCCACGATAGAACAATTGCATTACATTTTTCCCATTGCTCTGCTAACGCGCCTTTATACATACTTTTTACACACGATCCATCCACAAATCCAAGCTTGCCCTTTCCTCGGAGTGCTAATTTCATCGCCCTGCTCCACAGTGTGTAATTTTCTGGGCCTTTGAGCTTGAGCGGAATTAAGACTAATCCAGGAGCATCTCAAGCTTGCAAAAACAATGGATGATTATGATTGAGTGAGTTGATTTCATCTTCTGCCATGGCTGCCCTGAAAATTGAGCTCAGAATTTCAGTATTCCTTTGCTCTATATTTTGCCTCTATGTTCCTGCCGTAAAGTTGAATCTCGCCGGAGCTAGATCGGAGTTAAAGCCCGCTCTGATACCATGTTCGATTGTGAGAGAGAATTGAGAAGGAAGAAGAGAAATTGAAATTGTATTCTAAAATCTGAGTTTTCTAGTTACATACAAGGCTGTATATACAGCTTCTCCACTACTTAGATGACCGCATATGTACAGCTGTCAATTAACTATCTTTTTTTTTGCTAGCTTGCACACTCCTAGTTGTATTTTGTGCACTTTAACCCCCATATGCTAAGAAAACACTCGACTGTTTTCTAGTCGTTCATCATTGACAGTGCGACTCCGACTAGACAAAGACAGTAGAGGGGGAAGAAGGTAACAAGCAACGGCTAGGTGCAGCAACTGTCATGGTCGTCGTCGGCCATCACCTCCGGCAACGGAGACCATGTAAAGGGCGAGAGCTAGCTTCAGCGAGCTTTATTTTTGCAGCTGCTAAGAAATAGCCTTGGCGGATTTAGGTCTATCAATGAAAAAGAAGAGCTTAGGTGTGTGTGAGGTGAAGCTTCGTTTATGGTTGTTACGTGGTAAAGGGAGGTCCGGCGATGGAGTTTTGGTGGTGAGGGTGCGGCTGGTATGGAGATGGAGCTAGGTTCTAGGATTTTTTGGTGTTAAATCTTCATAAAGAAGATGACAGCGCTCCTTTTTTTGTGTGTTCTCCAAATGAAAAATGGCTGATGATGTCCCCAAAAACGGTTCCCCCCCTTTCCAAGACTTAGGCGTTTTGTTTTATCATATTTCTGATGCCTTGTTTTCATTTTAGTTCCTTTTTCCCCATTTTTTCCTAAGGGTCTAGGTCTATATTTTTGTTTTTTTTTCTGATTAGTCCTAGGTCTTTATTTTGTATTAGGTCCCTAGGTTTTTAAGAAAGGTTTTTCTAGGTTAAGAGAGTATGAGTTTGATCTTATTGGGCCTGAATTTAGGGCTAATAAGACTAAAAATATAGAAATATAAAAATTATTCTTAATTAATTAGAACACTACCAAATAAAACTAAATATTAAAAGTGAGACTATTTTTTGTATTTTCAAGATTATCTAAAGATAAAAATAAGGTACTATTTTTGTATATTTTTTATTTAAATATATGAAAGATACATAAACTAAAATATTTTTGTAATTTTCATTTTTGTGACGAAATAAAGTAAAAAAAAAAGTCAAAATTAGTTGAAATAAAGATATTAGGCCTAAACTAAATATTTACATGCTAAAATATAAAAATTCTTGGGGAGGGTCAAAAATCACATTTCTACAGCTGCCCCTCTTTGACTGGAAACACGAAGAGTTTTAAGACAAAGAACGACTAGACAGTTTTTTTTGACCCGACCCTTATTTAGGAAGACCAAAATCTAAGAGGAAGGAGAATGTGACCGAGCCCTGGTATCTGAGCTTCCTACATATCCTTGGCTATAAAGGAATCGGGCCACGTGTAATTCAAAAGTAGGAACAGTGATGGAGTACACTGAGTTGGAGAGCTGGTCGAGGTGCCATTCCGTCGAGGTTCCGGTTTGCGGTCCTATTGTTACATCAAAATCGAAAAATGAAAAAGACTAACTAAGCCTATCAACTATGAGT